TCAAACTGGGAATGGTTTTAAGAGTAACTATTGCTTACAACTCAAGATTTCAAGATTAAATGAGATGATCTCTATCTATGACATGTCTCTATTTATACAAGTTTATGAGACTATTACATCATTGAGTATATCAGTAAAGACACACTTGCCTCTCTATTATTTTCCTCCTTGGAACTACATCTTCACATGCTGCTTCAACTTTTTATCCGAAGAGCATCTTTTTCTATTATTACTATTTTCCTTCAATGTCTTCACATGCAGCTATATTATTGTTATTCATACACCTTTGTCAAAGATGTTCTATTATTGTCCTCTTCCTTTATTTCTTCACATGCAATTGGGGCACTCCTTTAACTGGTAGGATTCTTTTATAGTGATAGGAAATCTTGAAAATTGATGTATATCGAATCTTGTAATATAATCCTCTAAAATTTCTGATTTTCCATATCCTCCATTGGATACTAACATCCAATTTTCATATTGACACAAGCATGAGAATTTTTTATCAAACAAATTTTTGGCAATGTTGTATATGACTTTAATTCTAAGTGCTCTTCTATGTCTGATCAATGATTTTGTCACTATCGAAACTTTTCTATTATTTNATGAAGATGAAGCTCCCGATCAAGCCGTGAAAGCTGTCGGCCCACGTCGCATAATCCCGTGACTCTGCGCCCCCACATTGTCGCCTTCTTCTTTTCTTTTCCGAGCCTGCAAACCGGAAATCTGTTTTCATTAGCTAGCTCAAATATTCTGTAAATTAATTCCAATTTACCTTCTTTTTCTTCTTTTTTTTTCCTGAATAAAATAATTTATTTATCACATTTCAGAAAATTTTAAATTTTACATTTTCGTATTATTGTTCTACTTAATAGTTAACTCCCTATACTAACATGGAAAAAATTCAAATATTTAAAAGGTATAAAATGATTCTATAATTTAATAAAATATGTATTATTAAAATCTACGCTTAGTTAATAAATTATCTATTTTTCATACAAATTATTTTTCACATTTTCCATATGTTATCATGATTTTTAACACTAATTATACATGTCATCATGAATTGTTGAAAAAGAATAATATTGACATGCTAAAATTTGTAAACGAACCTTTTGCTTTAATTTTAAATAACAAAATATTAAAAGAACTGGAAATTTTACTTCTCTTTTAATTTTATTAAATTCAATTACTATATGAAAAATAGAGTGTTTTAACTTTAATCTCAAAAAATAAATAAAAATGTAGCAAATGAAAGTTCTTTTCTCCATTAAATTATTTGTTTTGAAGTTTTAATTTTCTTGAAATGTATATTAGATACGCAAAATTAAACATGACAGTTAATAATTATTGTCGTATACCCAACAAAATTCAATTCATAATAATTGCATATATCAAACATATGCTATTTTTGTATTTATTGAAAATACACTATGCCTTGTCAAGAGTAAAATTCCACATCAAATAAAAATAAATAAATAACAAATATATAAGAATTTTCACCACTCTTAAAAATGTTGGACATTTCAAGATAGAATCACAAGTCTTAAAATGCTATATGAGCCCATTAATTTTAACGAATAAATTGAATTGTTTAAAACTAGAACAAGCAGTTGGCCTTTAAGATTAGTATTATCTAACAATTTACTATCTTGCTGGATATATTAAGAAAAATTCTCGTCGTGTAAAGATGAAATAAATAATCAAGATATAAAATTTGGATTAGTTCTTTAAACAATATCGACATTTTAAGATAAAATTTCAAAATCAAGTATTCCTAAAATATGTTAGATCCAAATAATTTTTGGAAGTTTTTGTCAAATGTCTAATAAATTTCAAGTTTTGCCCAATTCAATGAATTAAACATGTTGTCTTTATATTTGAGTTATTATTGAAATAATATGGTCCCCTATTAGTTGCTTGAAAGTTGACAATATGCTTTTTAAGGTGCAAAATTAAATACTATACTATACTATCCTATTCCACCATTCTTTTGTTTTACTTTACTATTTATTCTCTATTTGGGCAGCCCCACAAGACAATGGTTGGCATATGTTCAAGGTTTCTACTTTTCAATACAAGGTTTTGTGCTTATTGTCTTCTGAATAGTTGACACAACATAGTAAAATATAAGCATGGAGCAGCAAAAATATATATTTACAATATATATGCTTTTGCATTGTAAAAAGACTCAAAACTACAGTCTTTAACCATGGCTTTTTTGCCAAAGTTGAGACAACTAATCTAGATTAAGATTTTGTCAACATTGTTTATGAGTAGTGATAATTTTATTTATCATCTTTTATAGTACGTCTCTCGTAAAAATTGAATTTACTTTTTGTTAGACATTCGACAAATTAAATTTTTATAAATGAGTAACGTTAATACTTGAATTTAAGATGTGTCTGTTACGATATTATGTTATGTCACTTTATTTAAAAAAAATTAACATTGTGGAAAATGAGATAAATTTACTTATTTATTTGTAAATATACCTTCAGCTATACATGTTACACCCTAAATGATCGAGTGACACAACAAGGGACTCGTAAGAAGTATCAGAGACCCATTTGAGAATGCATGAGATGTGTGAAGAATAACGATAGATGTTCGATAATAACGTAAGATGACTTGAAAAAGTCTAGAGAATGTTAAGGTTAATTTAGGCATTATCCAGTCCTAAAACGACAACCAACACGACAACAACACAATGAACTTGACAAAGACTAGCTCAACCTACAAAGTCATGCAAGTAGTAAAACCGATTTAACTCTTGGAGTCGAGTAGATGTATGTATATTGTGTGTGTGTGTGTGTGTGTTTACATTTATTTGTTGTCAAAACATTCCTTTTTGGTTAGTTGCAACACTAAAATGCTTTATACTCGTAAAGTAAGGAATGTGGCTCTTGAGTATCTGTCTGGCCAGCACATAAAAATTTATATATAAAGAATTGCAATAAATAAACTATGAAAAAAGATCTCCATATATTTGTAGGACTCGAAAACGATTCATTGCTGTCTCTCCCATGAGTGCATTAAATAAAATAATAAAACTAAGCATCAATAATAATTGTTGTCGGATAATCCAATACTATAATGTTTTGAAAGGACAAAATTTTCAAAGTTTATTTGCCTTTTATTGCCTTGGGGTGTTTTTGTGGGAAGCATGAGAAATTTAATAATTGGATTTGGAAAAAAAGAGGATTTTCTTTGTTCTTTTTTTCTTTTTCATTTGGAGATACTCTTTGGGTTATTGATGAATTGAATAGACTACTAGTTTGGAAAATCACACACTAAATGTTCGTTAATGATGGCATTATATTTAGATGTTATCGTGATGGCCTACCCCAAGTCATATGCATGCGTTTATGAAGAGCTTTCTAACCACGTGGATGGAAGGCTTGTCTCAAGGTTTTTGCGTTCGAGGCAGGGTACAATAGGCACCTTATGGACGATCATAACATGTCTTGAAATCTTGGCTATTTTTTTAGTTCGTTATTTACTTTTGTTTAAAAAAAGTCAATGAACTTTTCAATTTGTTTGAATTTGGTAATTATGTTGACTAATTAGGTTCAACCATGAACTAGAGTTTACGTTGTTTATATGGCCAACAAGCTTTTCGCTTACGAACTCATTAGATCGATCGGATGGGTGACTAATGAGTTTTTAAGCCTAGTTTTATTTTTCAAAGAATATTTGATGAAAATTGAGTTTTCGATTATATTTAGTTAGTATTTATTTACTAAATAAATTCGAAAGACGATGAAGGTTGAATTTTTAATTTTCTTTTAGAAAACTTTTTTATTATATAAATTCAAATTTTAATTTCGTTTATTTCTGAATAATTCTAGATATTAGAGATTTTAACTTTCGTCATTATTTTTATTTTTAATAATTACCTATATTTTAGTTATTATTTTTAAATAAGGATTGTAAATCATCATGGCAATTAATTATTTTTAAAATAAATTTATGACCTTTGTAATTTTTCTATCTCTTAAATTCTCGTTATTTGATATTTAAAACCAAAAATCCAAATTCTTTCCGTGCGCATATTAAAGAGTTTTGATGTATATATATTTTTAATATTTTTAGAAATTAACAAAAATTAAAAGATAATCGTATTGCGATATTCATTTGAAATTAACGAAACTTCGATAACATGGTAATCGTTTTGGTAACTACATCAATATCTCTGCTTTAAAACAAATTTTTTATTTTTCTCCTACTTTTGAGTTGCTTTGGAGTCTTCATTCGAAATGGCCAAAAGGATGAAAGGACAAAGAATATGGGAGACATAAAAATAGTGTTAGAGCAAACTTTCTTCCTCATTTGTAGACAATTTCACCGTAAAAATCTATATTAAGATTACAGGTGGAGAAAGCGAAACATAAAAGTGGAAAAAATTACCCTTTTGTGCTCAATAATCCCGATTTCGATCATATATATATATATATATATATATATATATTATTTTTGATTTTTTTTTCTTCTACAATTACCTTGTCTACTATTCAAACAAAATTTCTATTAACGTCTTCTTGTTAGAGATGGTTAAAAGAAGTGAAATTGATATCACAGAGAAATCACATGAGAAGGAGATACATTAAGAGTCCGTTTGATAGTAAAGGTGAAAAAGGCAAACCAATTCTATATACGTTAGAAAAGAAAAAATCGCCAAAACGATAAAAATTCGATTTCCATGAAATTGGCCAAAAAACACTTCTGTTTCCACTTTTCTATCAAACAACCAAGGTAAAAAATGAATTTATCGAATGTGACATTTTCCAATGTAATTGGCAAATATGCAACTGAGAAATATTGAATTCTTTGACAAATATAGAGTAGGAAAAGGAAGAATAAAAAGCCAATAAATGTCTATTATTAAATTCACTCAACCTCATAATATATGATTTCAACTACTGTGGATTTTCGCTACTACACAGTCAGTTTCACCATAGTTTTCCATTCAAGAAATTGAGCACAGAATTAATAATCAAAAGTTTGACAAAGCTATGGCAATAGGAGACATATGGGTCCCAGATAATCACTATTTCCACCATCTTGCCACTCCATTATCACATCTCTCTCCCCTCTTTTTCTCTCTTCCTCCGTCTCTTTTTTGCTCCCAGAAGACTTCCTTACATTCTCGTCTTTCCTACAAAAAATCCTTAAACATCCCATTTCTTGTAATTTTTCTTGATGTTATGGAACCAACTTTAGGCTTGCTAGGTGGGATTGGGGCCGGAGGCGGTGGCGGTAGAGGAGGTGGTGGAGCTGGTAGCGCAGCCTTGTCTTGTGATCAGACTGGTTTAAATGTACCCAATTCTGAAAAAGACTACATGGACATTTCAAAAGAGTCTGAGCTTGAACTGGGATTAGGGCTGAGCCTTTGCAGCGGCGGCGGTGGTGGTGTGGAGGCGAAGGGTAAGGGGTCTGCATGGAGTGAATATGGAAGGATATTGACTGCTAAAGACTTTCCCAATGGGTTTTCAGCTGGGAGTGGAAGGGCTGCTGCTGGAACAAAGAGAGCTGCTGCTGACTCTGTAGGTTCTGCTGAAGGTGGCTCTCCTTCTACTGGTGTCAGGTTAGAATTGATTTTCTCAGGAGGATGGTGACTCGTTTGATAATATAAATCTTGGAATTCGACTAATCGAATTGCTTGTTTGAGCTTTAAAACCATATTGATTCTTGGTTCCATTGGCAACCTTGTTCATATTTTATTTTATTTATTTATTATTATTATTTTTTTTTTATACCTAGATGTACTCTGATATATAGTGATGATTTTAAGAATATGATTTTAATCTTGGTCTTTGATTTATTATTTTAATTAATTATGTTCGGTTTAATGTTAAAAAAGGTTACCTTGTAATATATTTTCAGTAAAAGTTTTCTTTTGCATCATTATGAAAACCACTTTCTTTTTCTTCCTAAGTGGGATATACAATAAATTGCTGTAAGTTGTCATCCAATTATGATCTATCATTATGTTTGGAATTGCTTTGGTTTTTCAAGTCCATCATCTTTGCCAATTTGAAAGATTTTGTAAGACCCTTTGGGGCATGTTTGATGCTTAGTGTTGAACACGGCTTGACGGTACAATCGACCAGATTTTAGCTTTTTCCTGCACTTTGTTTTGAAAATATGCAGAACTATGCTGTGTTGTGTTGTATCATGTGTTCTTTGTTTTTTAAATCATTACTCTAGTTATATTCCTTCTTTCGTTCATTAGATTAAGAGATGCATTTTTGCTTTGGAAAGCAGTCAGGTTGTGGGATGGCCTCCTATAAGGGCATACAGGATGAACACCTTAGTCAACCAAGCAAAGACTTCAAATACTGAAGATGGTGAGGGAGTTGGCAGGGACGAAAAGAAGGAGAACTCGAAGAAGAAAATCAATCATGGAAATGACAAGAATGATTCGACCATTAAAGAAAGAGATCATCTAGGATATGTGAAGGTGAATATGGATGGATTACCAATTGGAAGAAAGGTGGACTTGAAGGCTCACACTAGCTATGAAACTTTGGCGCAAACTTTGGAAGAGATGTTCTTCAAGCATCCATCGAGGAAGATCCGTACGTGTACTTTATGTGTTATCAACAATACAAATTACTCGAATGAGGGAAAAAATTTGAATATTTGATTTGATTATCTTGAAAACGAGTTCTATAATCTTGCGATTGTGGCATTCTTAGCTGATATCCAATGTATTTCTCTTGGTTGGATCAGGTAGTGGAAAGGAACAATCAATGCAACCTTTTAAGCTTTTGGATGGTTCGGCTGAGTTCGTGCTCACATATGAGGATAAAGAAGGAGACTGGATGCTAGTCGGAGATGTTCCATGGGGGTATGTCAAAATATATTACATTTATACTCAATATATAGACATCTTTTATAATGAATTAGGAAAGTAATAAAATTGATCTTCTATCCATAGTGGGCAGGAGCTTTGTTGTTCACCCTGTGACATGGCATGCCACGTCAATAGGTCAAACCTTTTTCTTTTGATTTGTCAAAAAAAGCAGTTTCACATTAGGCGAAGTTTCTCCTACCAATTGTTGGCAGGAGATTAGGTCTGAGAAATGTAATATCAACCTCAAGCAACTTGATTAATTCAACTTCCAGGAATAACTGCAGAAATTGATGTTCTAAAAAGTTTAAGTCCTTTTTTCTAATACAATATTTACAGTGAATAACAAGCTCGCGCGCACGCACACATACTCACTCACTTAATCCACATTACAATCACGACTCTGAAATGATGCTATGCATATAACATGGGGACCAATATAAGACTTAGTCAACACTACAAGGTGCTGCTAGCTAGGTAGAGTTCACTGCTTGTTCATTTTATACTTGATGATGTTCTAAAAAGTTTAAGTCCTTTTTTCTAATACAATATTTACAGTGAATAACAAGCTCGCGCGCACGCACACATACTCACTCACTTAATCCACATTACAATCACGACTCTGAAATGATGCTATGCATATAATAAACAAAAATCAAATAAATCAAATTAAAACTATTTATCAAATAAATCAAATAAAAACTATCAAATTTCAACCAAAATTTAATTTTAAGGACTAAAATAGAGGATTTCTATATTATATTGTCATATTATGTAATATTCAAATTAGGGGTATTTTTGGTATGTAAATTGACCAAAGGTCATTTTGGAAAAGTGGCCCCTTTCGAAAGGTTATTTCCATGTATTTCCCTATAAAATTTCACATATTGCCAATATCTCCATGTCAAATAATCAAGAGAATTAATTAATGTGGAATATACCTTGATCTATTGATGTGAATATTTAATCTTGAAGATCAACTTGCAATCTTTTCTTGTTTGGCTTATTGATTGCCTTGTTTTTCAATATGATTACTTCAATCATTCTTTCTGATTCTTAATTAAATGTTCTTGATTCTTGATTGTAGTTTTTCATTTTTGATCTTGATTGTGGATTTTGAATTTTTTTCAATATGTTTTTTCTTGTATTGATATGATGTCACAAAGAATGAGAATTACATATAAATTGGAGACCATAACTCTAAAACTATATGTATTTTGGAAAGTGTTACAGGTACATAATTGTCTACATAATGGTGTCCATAATTACACGTGGCACTGAATCCAATTTTTAATTTAAATCTCACTCTTCCACAACAACAATCGGATGATTGTCATATCACATTATGGACACCATTATGTACAATAATTATGTACAAGTAGAATTTTCCATGTATTTTACCCATCATGAAATACAACTCTAAAATAATTCGGTCTCTACACATATTTAGGCCCACACTTAATTTAAATTGCTAAAGTCCAATGACTTTAATTTTTTATTAGATCATTTTAAATGGGCTTAACTTTAATATAGTATTTATACACAATTAATTACATATGTAGGCTTATATGACAAATTAATAATTTCCTACAACCATGCTCCTCTGCCAGAAGAAGCATGACAGAGGGTCTGACCGATACACACATTTGGGGGGTGGGACCACCTCTTCCTCCCAATTGTTTATTCATGCAGGCTCGGTGGTTGTGAGTGAGTGTCGTGACCTCTGTCAACCATTCTTATGGCAGAGGAGCATTTTCCAATTTCCTAGCATCTGTTTCTTTGACATTCTCTTAGTGGCTATATTGACTTTTTGTCATTCTAGTACTTGCGATGGCAATGCTAAAGTTTAGATCCTTAAAAAATCGAGGCTAGAGGTGCTTGGGTTTGATGGTTCAAATCTTTTAATGGCGGTAGTGCGTCGATTTAGAGGTGATGATGTGTAGAGAGAGAGAGAGAGAGAGAGAGAGGGGGGGGGGAGTTG